GAGAACTGCTCCGATCGCATAACCAGAGGCATCTGTGTATAACTCGAAGGGTTTCGTCGTGTCAGGGACTTGTAATGTAGTGAAGTCGATTAAGCGCTGTTTGAGCTGCCGCACCGCTTGCGTGTGAAGCTCTGTTCATTCGAAACTGACGTCTTTACGCGTAAGATCAACCAGCGGCCGGGCAACGTCTGCATAGTTCGGTCCCATGAACATGCGACAGTAATTGATGGTACCGAGGAACTGGCGCACTTGCGTTTCGCTCTCCAGCACCTCTGGCCAATGTCGGATGGCTGCGATTTTATCTTCTGCAGGTTTGATCCCCGCAGCAGAAGTGATATAACCCAAATATGTAATTGTTTGCCTTGCAAACTTGCATTTGCGGAATTTTGGGTAGAACTGGTATCTAAGAAAAATGCTGAGGACTTATCGCAGGAGAGAAACGTGCCCAGAGAGCTCGGAACTATAGATAAGTACATCATCTAGGTACGCAATAACGCCCTGTCCCAATAAAGGTTGCAGATAGGCATTAATGTTGGCCTGGAATGTAGCTGGAGCACCGTTAAGGCCGAAGGGCATCACGCAGCACTCGAATAGTCCGAGAACGGACCGGAAAGCCGTCTTCCACCGGTCCTCCTTAGCCATACGTATTTGATGGAATCCTGCTTCAAGATCCGAGGTGGAAAAATACTTGGCGCCTCCCAGCAGCTCCAGAATGTTTTGAATGGGAGGTAGTGGAAAATCAGGGGCTATCGTAAGGGCATTTAGAGCCTGGTAATTGACAACCTTACGCATCTTCCGCTCCCCGGAGACATCATCACGTTTGTCTACCATGTTCGTAGGAGAGCAAATAGGCGAATAGGTCGGTCCGATCCAACCATTGTCGGATAATTTAGCTATCTCCTGTTTGTGGAATGTGAGCTGATCTGGGGTCATATGGTATATTGCAGATTTCGCTGTATGCTTTCCAGGCACAAGTAGAATATGGTGATCATGAGGGCGCTTCGGCGGTAATCCCTTAGGTAAGGTATCGGGAAAAACCGCTCGATATTCGTGCAACACCTGGGCAACCTCACATGGAATATCCTGCGCCTCTGGCGAAGTTATCCATTCGTCGAACAGAGTGTGCTCGAGTTTTGCCATATGCAAGGGAGACTCCTCGCCACTCTCCGCTGCCACCGAGGCGGTTGAGGCCAAAGGACTATGCCAGCCGGAGGACGTGGGTTGATTCCCAATTCACGCGCAACAAAGCAAACCTTGCCATTCATCCAAGAGCCTCAGGGGCACTGCCGAACCGGCTTCGGGCAAAGCCAGTATGAGATGCAAGCCGTGCAATGGAGCCCTGAGATCCTTTGTATCAGCCACCGCCTGACGAACGAGCGACGTTATCCGCGCCTTCGCCTTAGTCTTCGCGTGGGACTTATACCTCCTTGGAGGCGGGCGTAGGAATACAGCTGCCTTCTCGGCTGACATACCCGCCACTTGTTTGGCCAAAATTTCATATGCTTGCTCTGCTGGGGTCCTTGGGTGGACTACGGTGGGGCTGCCACCTTGCAGCGTTGCTTCACCAGTCCGAACGCCCGGTAACTCGCACCACTGGCCATTCACATAGGTTCGGAGTTTGTCAGACTGAAAATACCAGGCCACCTTGTGTTCCGTCAGCCAATCCAAACCCAAGACTAAGTCATAGGGAATGGTTCCCACTAGAAGGTCCCCTGAAAAACGTGCATGTCCGCACCACAGCGTCAATCCCGTCACAACCCGATCAATGCGTAGTAGTGCACCTGTAGCTGCGGTGAACCTATGTTCTTTTGGAAGTCTCCGCACTTTCAGCTGCAGTTGTTCGACTGTTTCAGGACTAATGAAACTTCTCGAATCCCCAGTGTCGAAGAGGGCCTCACAAGGACTCCCTGCGAGCTCAACGCGAAGTACCGCCGTCGCACCCACACAACACAACGCTCCCCCTTGGTCGTAAGACTCTTTTGTGCAAGTCTCCCTCCACCAGTGGGGCACAATCTCTGTCGCGTCTGACCTATCGCCGTCTTCCGTTGCCTCTGCAGACTTCCTGCTGGTAGCCGTCGTCGCGTCCGGAATCTCTTCACTCAGGATCGACGCTGACCCAGACTCCCGCCGCGTTTCCGAAAGCGGCTGAGTCCCTTCCGCGTGCCCATCGCTCGTATTAGTTCTTTGCGCAGTGCGGAGGAGTTGGTTTCCCCACTAAAAGGAGACTGGAATGGCATTAGGGCCTGTCGCTACCGCACACATCATCCCTTTGCCATGGCTACGCGGCCTAGAACGCTCGTCTCCAACCACGCCTAGGCCCGCACGTTTAATCGTTCTGTCTTTTCAGTGCTAGGACGGGTGGGCGCCCTACTGCTCTTGTCCACCGACTGGGGCTGGACTCGTTCATACGTAGGACAGTCCCGAGCATAGTGTCCCACACCGCCACACTTCTTGCAGATTTCCGCCAGACGTCTGGTACGTTCCCCTTTGCTGGGGCAGACACGTACCGGATGTCCGCGACCCTGACACTCAAAGCAGTTCGCGTGGGTTCCCCCAGGGCGATTTTCAATTTCGTGGTGCCCACGAGGTCCATTAGCTTGGACGGCAGCCCTAATGGCTCGACTGGTCCTTTCTCGGAGTTCCAGCACACTCTGCTTGGGCTCGTAGAGCCGTGTTGCGGCGGTCGCCGCTTGTTCCCGCGACTGATATTTCACTTGTCCGTTGTTGGTTATTAGAAGATGGAGGTCTGTTGGTAGCCCGGTGCAGTAATAGTCCGCGAGTTCGTCGGGGGAAAACTCAACCCACGCTCTGCTACAGCCGCAAACCGGTCCGTGTATTCCTTCGGGTTACCATTCCACCGTACTTTAGCCAACTCCGTTAACAATTGACTCTGCGACATTGTTCTGTCAAACCGCTCCAAAAGCCTGCGCTGTACTGTCACCTAGTCGCTTAGGTCGATAGTTCTCCGTAGATACATCAAATACGTTAGAGCCGGGCCCACAAGGTGGTCTATAAGTGCATTTCCCCACTCGCGCGGTTCCAATCCCATCTGGGTGTGCCGGCGTTCGATGCGCAGCAGAAAGGTCTGCATAGTGCTGCCGTCTTCTGGTTGTATGGGAATCGTTGCGCCGGATTCCACGGTCCCCCCTATAACAGTTCTTATCACACTCATAGCGGACTGGAATTGGTCTCACGTGACGAAGGGACTGTTCCCTGGCATAACATTGGTCATAGGTATCACCTGCGGGGGAGCCTCCTTATGCCCATGCGGCCGCTCTGCCACGGTGGGCTTCGGAGTCGCGTGGCGATGATGGGCTGGCGTCCCGCTCGGCATTTTGTTGACTGACATTGTAGAAGTCTCCTGCGGTGTGGGGCCAATAACACGTCCGTTGCGGAGATGCATCCCTTACCGAGCGAAGATTTCTAGGCATGAGTTATTAGAACATAGTATTTCTACTCCCAAGTCCGGAAAGAACAAAGATTTCAATCCCGGAACAGCACCCAAATGTAGTGCACAGCGCCTACTGCTGCGACTATGCTGCTACCTGCCCCTCAAGCAGGGCCTATGATCGGCACCTAACGTAGGCCCATTTCCTTTAAAGAGTAGCTTTTATTTATCGAAATTCAGTAACTCTTAAGTTTCCAAAATCTGTTGTTGTTCGATTCGCTGCACCCGGGGTGCTCGCCTCCTAGGCCCTGTGGGGAGGAGGCCTGCACTGGTGCGGGCGCTTCCGCCCTCCGAAGTTTCCACGCAATTTCAGGCACCTCTAGCTTATGCATATTAAGTCGCAGACGAATTGCCTTACTTTGATCCTTGTAGGAGGGTCCTGTCCTCCTCCAGTGTTGCGACCCCTTGTAGCTAGCTATCGTCTATAGGTCACCAGCAAGCCCTATTGTAGTGCCTGTGCACTACACCTCCTCCCCGCAGGGCCTAGGAGGCGAGAACCCCGAGTGAGGGGGATTTTGAGGACAACAGATTTTGAAAACTATGAATAAATGTATTTCGTGATATTTGGACTACTGTTTCAACGAAATGCGATGAAGGTAGACGGTTATCGTAGGCCCCTATTCGAGGGGGCAGGTAGCAGTGTAGTCGCAGCAGTAGGTGCTGTGCACTACAGATGACCTATATGCGGTTAAGAGGTTGAGACGCGGATTGAGCGCTGTAACTTCTTACTAGTGAAATAGAAATGCAATTTATTAACAAATTAACATGTATAAACTAGAAATGCCTGCGAATGCCCTAAGATTGGGGCTGCCGAAAACACCGGCACCGGTGCGCGTCACATCCTCACCGGACCAGCAAAGCAAGAACGATAAGAAATGACTTTTATGAAATATAATTTTGAGAACTTGAAACAAAATTGTCTTTCTAATAATTTAGTTGACGTTACGCGGCCGATGCGTCTGTAGAAGAGAAGATTTCATAGAGCGCCAGAGTTGAGGGTTGTGCAGCACCGTAGACGCTACAGAGAACGCAGTGTACTACGGGCGGTGCCCCGCACCGCTGCCAGTGATATAGCCAGCCCCAATCTCCGGGTACTCACAGTTATGTGTAGTTTATACATGCTATTTTGCTGATAAATTGGCTTACTCCGTTACTAGTAAGAAGTTTCCGCACTCGTTCAGTACCTTAACCACTTATATGTCACAAGCTAGCTACCCTCTGAAGGTCACCCGCAATCCTTTTTGTAGTTCCTGCACACTACACAGTTGGTGGAGCGGCAGACTTTAGAGGTTGCAGTTATCTGTTGGTTCCTGGTTCGATACCCGGTTGCCGGGGAATGCGCCTCCAACCACAATTTCTCCCGTTTTGGACATGGACAAAGGTATGAACGGCGTACTCTGCTGGGGCAAAGTAAGCTGTCAATGCATTGCGTCACAAAAAAGGAGTGACAGAAATACCGGGCACTACATTCTAGAATGATGAAATACAGTAAGTCAAAAGATGATGCTTGTCACATGCGCTCATTTTGTTGACGACTGACACGTGAAGAGTGCTTCTTCTCCACGAACCCATGAGCACCTCAAAGTCTCCGCTGCTTCCTTTTCCTGCTTGAACTTGCCTTTTCCACTTTGGAACATTTGCATGTACTATCTTCAGCTTTGTTTGCACTCGCCTCCGTAACAGTCGCTTTCCGCCACTTTGCCTGTGTGGCAACTTCCGTCGCTGTGACCGTGTCTGTGCCTTCGCCAGAGCATCCTTCCCTTTTCGCCAATGCTTGCGTCAGTCTGTAATCCATGGCAGTCTTTGTAGACCTTTGGCCCTTCTTATTAGTGTTTGGAGCCTTGAAGCTTCGATCCTGTACATACTTCCTTCTGTCTCTGTCAGTGTCTGTGTCTAATGTCGTCGTGTCTTATTAGCAGTTGCCTGCCTTCATGCCAGTGGCTGACTGCCACGGTTATGTTGCTCTCTCAAAACGGTTGCTGCTTAGATCCAATGATCTGTCTATCGAATTGCGCATATTCGTTTGATACCTATATGAAGGCAGTGGAGC